TTTGAATACCACGTGCACTAGGCTCATCAACATTTTTATTCCACCGTACATACTAAATTTCTCCTGGGATTGTTTGCCTAGCCGAAGCATTAAATGACATCCAAATCCGACGAACATTCAGCCTATTGCCAAACCATTGTAGAATACACCATTTATCGTCCGATCGCTGAAGTTATGCTGCACCGGGTGTGATTAGTACTTGCATCACAGACCGACTGGGAATACCACGTGCAGTAGGCTCATCAACATTTTGATTCCACCGTACATCCTAACCTTTTTCCGGGATTTTTTGCCTAGCCGAAGCATTAAATGGCATCCAATTCCGACGAATATTCAGCCTACTGCCAAACCATTGCAGAATACACCAGTTCTCGTCCGAACACTGAAGTAAAGCTGCATCGGGCGAGGTTAGTACTTGCATGAGAGACCGGCTGGGAATACCATGGGCAGTAGGCTCATCAACATTTTTATTCCACCGTACATACTAACATTTTTCCGTGATTTTTTGCCTCGCCGAAGCATTAAATGACATCCAATTCCGACGAATATTCTACCTACTGCCAATCCATTGCAGAATACACTAGTTCTTGTCCGATCACTGAAGTTAAGCTGATCGGGCGTGGTTAGTACTTGCATGAGAGACCGGCTGGGAATACCACGTGCAGTAGGCTTATTATCATTTTTATTCCAGCGTACATACTAACTTTTTCCCGAGATTTTTTGCCTAGCCGAAGCATTAAATTATATTCAAATCCGACGAATATTCAGCCTACTGCCAAACCATTGCAGAATACACCAGTTCTCATCCGAACACTGAAGTTAAGCTGCATCGGGCGAGGTTAGTACTTGCATGGCAGACCGGCTGGGAATACACCAGTTCTCGTCCGATTGCTGAAGTTAAGCTGCACTGGGCGTGATTAGTACTTGCATCACAGACTGGCTGGGAATACCAAGTGCAGTAGGCTCATCAACATCACTGAAGTTAAGCTGCATTGGGCGTGGTTAGTACTTGCATGAGAGACCGGCTGGGAATACCACGTGCAGTATGCTTATTATCATTTTTATTCCACCGTACATACTAACTTTTTCCCGAGATTTCTTGCCTAGCTGAAGCATTAAATGCCATCCAATTCTGACAAATGTTCAGCTTACTGCCAAACCATTGCAGAATACACCAGTTCTCGTCCGATCACTGTAGTAAAGCTCACCAGACGTGGTTAGTACTTGCATGGGAGACAGGCTGGGAATACTACGTGCAGTTGGCTCATCAACATTTTTATTCCACCGTACATACTAACTTTTTCCCATTATTTTTTGCCTAGTTGAAGCATTAAATGACATTCAAATCCGACGAATATTCAGCCTACTGCCAATCCATTGCAGAATACACTAGTTCTCGTCTGATCACTGTAGTAAAGCTCACCAGACGTGGTTAGTACTTGCTTGGGAGACAGGCTGGGAATACTACGTGCAGTTGGCTCATCAACATTTTTATTCCACTGTACATACTAACTTTTTCCCATTATTTTTTGCCTAGTTGAAGCATTAAATGACATTCAAATCCGACGAATATTCAGCCTACTGCCAAACCATTGCAGAATACACCACTTCTCATCCGAACACTGAAGTTAAGCTGCATCGGGCGAGGTTAGTACTTGCATGGCAGACCGGCTGGGAATACCATGTGCAGTATGCTCATCAACATTTTTATTCCACCGTACATACTAACTTTTTTCCCGGATTTTTTGCCTAGCCGAAGCATTAAATGACATCCAATTCCGACGAATATTCAGTCTACTGCCAAACCATCGCAGAATACACCAGATCTCCTCCCATCACTTAAGTTAAGCTGCGTCGCGCGTTGTTAGTACTTGCATGGGAGTCCACCTGGGAATACCACGTGCAGTAGGCTCATCAATATTTTTATTCCACCGTTCATACTAACTTTTTCCTGGGATTTTTTGCATATCAGAAGCATTAAATGACATCCAAATCTGACGAACATTCAGCCTATTGCCAAATCATTGCAGAATACACCAGTTCTTATCCTATCGCTGAAGTTAAGCTGCACCGGGCGTGGTTAGTACTTGCA